AAAATCCATTGTATAGCTTTTTTCTAGGCTTCAGTTGGCACTTAAATTGTACTGTTGTGGTGGGTTTTTTTTCATCTAGAGTAATTTTTAAGTCATTACAGGTAAGCATATATTTTTCACTTCAGGTTCTGGCAGTAGAATGTAGTAAGAATAGAATTTTGCAGTTTTCATTGTAGGAGTTTACATTGTAATTCAGACTAAAATACGTGAAAGGATGTGAGACCACTTTTGAAACCTAAGCAGGTGTCAGGCTACTTAGGTTTCAAAAGTATACTTCATGTTCTGAACACTCATGATGTTATGACACTTGGGTTGTAGGGTTAAAATTGTAGGTGGAGGGAGTCACTCTTGCTTAAACTCTCCCTGGGCAGAACAAAATTCCAGATGCATTCAGCTGAGAAAGAGTGCCATAGCTTAGTGATTAGAGCATGTGCCTGGGAGAGGGAGATTTAGAGGTCTGGATGCTGTTTAGTATAACTGAAGGTTACTTACTGTAAATCTTCTGACTTTGAGATCTTAGAATAATGAACTGTGGTATAATCGTGCCCTTCCTACAATAGCATTCTGTCTCAGTATGTCATTTTATGTGGTTGAAGTAATAGAAAGTGAGGCTGAAGTAAAAGTGGTGTCTGAATGGTGTAATATATACTTGACTTTGAAGTATGTATTACATTTCATTGTGCACTCACCAGTGCTCGAAGCTTAACAACTTGAAAGAGTCTTCATCACTACTGTCAATCAGAAAAGATAAAGGTTAAGTGGCATAGTAGATGTTAAATTTAATAAACTTTCTCTGAAGATATGAATTCAAACGTTTAAAATCAAAGGAAAGAATTTTGCCAACAGGAAACATATATATATTGCAGTGAAAGAAGGTTAAACTCTTTTGTACCTCTTGCTTGGAACCACAGAGGGTGAATATTCAAACACAAGTTTTAATTCAAAGTTGTCTTTGTACTATTTCAGACTGTAGTAGGCTTTTTGCCATACCTTATTTTTAAGCCCTTATGTTTCTAGGAATTGGAGAAACATGGCTTCTTTTTAATGCATAAATATAACTTTTACTGCTGTTTGATCTTCAGTCTAAATACTGAAGAGAAATTCTTATAATGCATAGATATTAACAAAATGAACAGAAAATAATTACAGATTTGGACCCTTTAATATCACTATTCTTTCTTGATGAGATCAGAATCTTATCTGATTGACATTCAGAAAACAAACTGAGTTGGATAAAAATCTTTCAAATGAGCCTTTCAGAAGCATGTGTTCTCTGGAAATAAGTGCAGCCACTTCAGCCCAGATAAATAAAGTGTTGTCCTCAGTTTTGAAAGAGGGGATCTAGATGATGCTGACTACTGAGGAGGTTCATGACAGAGATTAATTAAGCTTGTGAGTATCATTGAAATAATCTCTTAAGATCCACTAGTATTTTCTGATGCAAAGTTCAATGCTTCTCTGCTAGTTCATAGAATCAGAGAATGCCAGGTTGGAAAGGACCTCAAGGATCATGTGATCCAACCTTCTTTTCTCTCTTAAATTTGTACCTCATTGGAATGTTTAGTCCTCACAGTTTTTATCCTGATTTTCCATGATACTTTTGAGGTCTTACCTACCCTGTGCTACTATTGTTGTGTCCTAGAAAATAGTGTTCTGTTCATTCAGAATAATCTATTTTAATGTATTCTGCATCACCAGGCAATTAATTTTTTAATCTGATCACATCAGATGCAAATATTTACAAATCGTAATTCTTTTTAAATTGCTAACTAAATAGTTTGAAGGTGTAATATATTCAAAGACATAAATATGTCATTATTATGGCAACTCCTCTTCAGCTTGGAAAATGTTAGCACAGCTGTCATTTAAAACCTGAAAATTTGTGTTTGTTGTCCCACACAGAGTATCTTTTACTTGAATGCAGTGCAAAAAAATACATGCATTTATTGTAGGCTATACAGAGCTTGAAATTTGACTTACAAATTAAAGAACTTTCCTTCCTCTCAAAAAAAAAAAAAAAAAAATCCTGCTAAAATACTTGGTCTTTGCTAAACAGCATTAAGTTTTTAACTGTTCAAACCATTCACAAGAAAATTGACTAACATGAGTTGCCTTGAAGATTTCTTTGTTCTACCTACAAATCTTAGTTAAAATCTCTTCCCCTAAAAAATAAATACCAGACAACTGACAACTGTAATCCTGACTGTGACAGCAAAATTGTGAAAGCTAAACTGGCAAGAAACCCAAGAAGAATTATGATGAAATGCTTTCCTTTTATCTGTACTTTGGGGTACCATATATATTGAAGCTTTTTGTTAATGACTTCTATGTAAAAAGCAATTTCACTGGCCAGAGTACTGTTGTAGTGTTTATACTGTGTCAGCACTTTTGATTAAGCACTGTAAAGCCTTGTAAACCTCCCAAAATACTGGCTTAAACTGTCACATAAAATACTTGCTTAGAAATAAATCCTTGTTCTGTTTAAAGCATTGAAAAAATAATTCTGTGTATTGGCATTAGGAGGTGTAAAAAAAACCAAACCAAACAATCACTCTTTTGTGCCTCTTCTTTGGTAATAGGTTTATGTCCTTTGACTTTACATGAAAAGCTATTTTCTGGTGGTTTTGTGTTGGTTTTTTTTCCCTCCAGTTCTTATTAGAACTTTTGGTAAGAGAAACAGTTGAAATTACCAGCTGAGTGCATCGTCAGCCAGGCTGGTTAACACTTAGTGAGACACTGTCTTATGTGTGATACAATGAAGCAGTCATTTACATTTATAGTGAATTAATTAAGAAGCATACATGCTTGACTTTAAGCTTGTTCAGTAAGTGGGGGTTCTAGAATAATATTACACAATGCCAACTTCTGTTTTAGTTTTCATTATTTAATTCTCAGTTGTGAGACTTCTGCTCCACTTTACACTAATATTTTAAATTTGCAGGGGACAGAAATAATTAAAAAAACAGTGTTAAAGACCTCATTATGAAGTTTCTTTCATTGTCTCAGTTTTCTTCATAACGTTTTCAACTTGAGGCTACAATACTTGTAACGTTTCTGCTATTCAGAGTTCATGGGTGCTTGTCTACTACATAAGAGTACTTTTTCAATTGAAAATACAGTTCCAGATTCATTTTTTGTCTTGAAATAAATGTGGTTGGAAAGGTATTTAAGTTTCACTCGATATAGTCAGGTTGCAAAAATCTGGTTTCTGTTCAGTTTCCTGTTTGTGATATATGTCTGGGCCTGTGTACAGTAGGATAACTTATCATTTTGAGGCTTGGCCACCAACATTGCAGCAATGGATACTGGCTTCTTGTAGCAGGGCTGAAGAGTGGATTTTGAAATCTCCCCCTACTGTCAAATTACTTCCTGCCTCTCTTGCCCCCAGAAGTCAGATTTTATTTTAAAATCCATTTTGACACACCATTCTGCTGGGAAGCATTCCAAGAATGAAATACTTAAACAGTTTATTTGGCCTCCTTTAAAATCTTCTTGCTCTATATAGCTCAAAAGAGAGAGGGAAATCTTAATCTGTTTATCAGAGTGTATCTCTGAAATCCTGTAAGTTAATGTGTGCAGAGAAGGATTTTCCCAAAGAGATAAATATAATAACTGCAATTAGTTCTTGTTGTCTCTGCTGTAACTTAAAGGTGTTTAAAAGCCTCACAATGATCTTTTGTTTAAACTTCAAACATGAGTTTTGTCCGGGGAGTGACCAGGGGTGATACCTGTATTCCCTTACTCTTGAGAAACTCTATCCCTGTGAGAGAAGCTTTTGCTTTAAAGTTCTTTGGGAGTTTGGTAAAAAAATGTCTTGGATAGCCATTATGCAGATAAACAAGGGGTATGTAAAACAAGATGGAGTAGTTAATTTAAAACTATGTAAATTTCCACACTGAATTGCAGTATTTTTCAAAGATACAAGGAATAATTTACAATACCCACTTGTTCCTCTACTATTTTAGCAATACAGGCTACAGTACATCCTTTCCCCCTCCAATCTGGAATTTGAATAAGGGTTTTTTACTTCTGTGTTTTGTTGTGTCCAGGTTTTAATGTCAGTCATATGAGCCTTTTAGCACTGTTAAAAGCAGTATTGCTGACTAAACATTTGGACTCAGAGGTTTAAAAGACAAAAGATTCCATTTACCAGGTGCAGGATGTAGAATTTATTGAAGTATTTTTAAATTCAGATAGACCTAAACACACACAGTTGTAGGGAGAGGGGAAATAATATTGGATCTTAATTAAAAGATTATAAAATATTTTTGTTTGATTGAAGCAACCTTGTTGACTGGTGGACAGAATACTGTAAAATAAGCAACAAAGCAACAACACCCCTCAAAGAACCCCCCATTAAACCAAAAAAAACCCACCCCAAGCTCCTGTGTCTGCCAGATTTATTATGCAACATTAATTAGGCAAAAATTAGCAACTTGTGAATAGAGGTTATTTTGAGGATCAATTTGTTTTTCAAGAAAAATGGATGAATTAGAGCTCCTTTTCCTTATGAGTCACAATTACACTTTTCCCAAATGGTGAGGGATTACTGCCTTGCATCATAGGTTATTTGGGATGAGCTCACTTCATGTCTCTCAGCCAGTGTAAACATACCAGAACTCATACACTAGGGACCTAATTGCTGGGTGGCTGTTTGCAAAGCTTGAGCATTTGGTGTTATTTAAAATTACTACTTTGACAAGTTTTTGTCATTCACTATGTATAGTCCATAAAGTTTTCTTCCCACTCTGACTTCTCTAGTTATATCTGCCAGATACATAAAAGACTTGATCAGTGTGAGGGAAGAACCTCATTCCGCAAAGAAAATGTTCAGCATGTGAGCACCTTTTGAACTCTAAGGCTTGAGTTACAAGCCTTGGACTTGAGAGGAAGGGAAACAATTGTTATAGTGAGTCGGTATGAGAGATAAATTCCTTGAGATTATTGTAACTTGGTTTCAGTTTTGAATGGTTTTTAAGAGTATGTACATTTTCTTTCAGAAAACTGAGACGTGGGAGAGCGAGAAGGCTGAGGAGGACATGGAAGAGTACATTTGGGAAAACAGCCGCTCTCAGAAAAATGCCTTGGATACACTACTGCGAATGAAAGCCTCAGAGAATATCAGTAATGTAACTCAGGAAGAGCTTCTTGCATCTGAAGTGGTTAAGGATTACAGAAACTCTGTAATTGCACTGAAAAATGAAGGTGAAACAGAAAGTAACATGTCTCGGTATAAGGAATCTGTGAAGAAGCTACTAAATATACAGGCATGCCCATGAGAGCAGACTCTGCAGGTACAGCTGATTATTTTTGAAATATTAAATTACTGTGTTAATATTTCTACATGATATAGATGTATAATTATTAAGAACCATAACAATAAATATGAAACTTGATGATGAGTTAATTTCAATAGTAATCAGGTTTTTCTTTACAACTGGATGTTATTGTAACCATTATTTACCTGTCCATAATCTTATTTTTTAAATAAAGTATGTTTTGAGTCATATTGGTGATGAGCATTCTATTCTGTGCTTTCTTAGCTTGGGAGATCATGGTTCAGTCCTCTGCTTAATCATGTCCTGGTTTCTCACACAACTTCTTTTGCCTATAACAGCAACAGTGTCAAAACCAATGAAATTACTTTGGGTCCATGTTCCATTAATTGAGAGTCTCAAAGCTAGGAGCTCTAAACTTTCTAAATGCTTTTCAAATGTCACTCAGATTTTTCTCAATCTGTACTGTCTGTACAATAGTGTTGCTTAAGTAGTTTAACTTTTGGAGAGGTGTTGAAGCACACTGAACAGTGTGAGGTTCGCAGTTGTCATGAGGGCTAACAAATATCCTAGGTAAAAATACCTGTCTCTAAAATGGTGGAATGAAATAAGATAGAAAATGGGAATGTAGTGGGAAGGCGAACTAGTAGTTACTGACAGGATACCAAAGTACACGGGAAAGGAAGAATTCTGAGAGTTGCTGAAAGTGAGAGCTGGTGAGTAGTGAGGAGAGTATACAGCTTAAACAGGAGGGGACTCAGTCTTGGTTTCCTGAGGCCTGTTGAGTTCTCTTCAGTGTACCCAGGTTCTTCAAGTGAAAAAACATTTGTAGCACTCAGTTTACTGCTGTGAAGCACAGAGAAAAAAAAAATTATACGTATCTTTATCTTATATTTGTATTTGAAGGAAATGGATTTGAAAACACTGGAATCACAGGCAACTTTTATTGCCCTTTCACATTTCAGAAAAACAAACCAAAAAACTACCTTAAAAATATCTGCTAGAAAGGACATAACTGTTCTGGCTTTTATTGTACCTTCTTGGCTTACTAATATTTCAGTGGTGAGAGGAAGCCTTCATTTTCTCGAAGGGGCAGAGGGAGTTCTTGTTCATCAGACTGAAGGATTCTGTGTACCTATACAAGAACATGTGGCCCTGCCACCAACCACCTTGTTGAGAGGAAACAAGTGTAAGAATGAGGCCACTGAAAACTGAAGGAAACTGGTTTCTGCAGAATGTTCTATGTGGCTTGACTCACTGCTAGGATTTCTGATTGTTTTGTGTTTACATACAGCCACAGACTGTATGTATTCCTATTTCCAAAACATTGTCAGTTTTGGAAGGATTTTTCTTTGGTAGAGACTGTTTTCAAATGGCAGCAGAATGAGTTTAATGCAGCTTTTTAAAGAAACCTTTTATGTGAATTTGCCAGAGGCTGAAAATGCTTGGCCTGCAAGCCCAATTTTGCACTTATCAACTTGGTTATTTAGTGGTCCTTCCTTTTGTATTTGTAATAATGTGAAGTTTTGGCAGGAAGTTAATATGAGGAATGTTTTGGCTGTTACCAGGTTGTTCCTTTATTCAGGGATAAATGAGGGTCATGGTTTAAAATTCTCATTTGAGATAGTATGTCTGTGTAATTTCTACTCTTTTTTGAACAGCCATGAAACCAGAATTACTGAGGAAGTGACTGGATGATGGCTTTATTCCAAAGGTGGTTTGGTTCTAGTAGGTACATAAGAGAAATTTGTTTCCTTAATTAGCTTTGTCAGTGCTTGAAAAGGACTGGTGTACTCATAAGCATCTGTAAATTACTTTGCATGTCTTGTACCAGACTGTCATGAGGAATGCCCTTAAATGTTTTAAGAAACCCCAAACCTGAAAAGCTTGCTTTTCTCTTCCTCTGTGCAACAGAGGACAATTTAGTTTTCCTGTGCTCTTAGAGTCCTTAGAGAGTCCTCCTTTCTCCATGAAAGCTGTAATTTAAATAATAATTTGACTAATAATAATGGCTGGTAGAAACAACAGCACAGTAAGGCATATTGATTTTTTGTTTGGTTGTATTAGCATTTCATTAGCTTCACAGCTAATTCATGGAAAACCTAAAATGCACAGGTTTCTAGAGTTCTCTCTGAAGTGTTCAAGCCTGTCTTATATACATTCTGTAAGTGTTTCAAGAAATACATAAAAAGGTGGCTATAATCTGAATGCCAGGACACTCAAATATCTCTCTCAACAATACATAATACCTGCTGGCCAAGAACAGTGTTGGGATTAATTCACTGTGTTCCCTAACCACATCCAATGCCATCAGAAATCATCAAAGATAGAATTTTTTTCCAGTATTATCTGGCTTAATGGCTCTGTGGGTATAGAACCCTTGGCCAGCTGGCCTTAGACATCTGCAAGACTGACCTCCAACCTTGGTTTTCAATGTCAGCTTCACTTCCTCTCCTTGCAAAGAAAAATATGAGCAAAATTAAAAACCTTTATAATTCTGTAAGTGCTCAGTCAAGCTGCTAAGATCAAAGGCAGTATAAAATTAAGTTAATTCTTGTGATTTTTACTAAGGGTTTATGTGTTACAGTGTAGAACTCGTGTAATACAGTGGACTGGATCAAAGGTAGCCTGGATTGTACTTTGAGTTGTTTGTCATCTTGGGTGTTTCCCTATCTGCTTTTCTGCTCCTCCCCTGAAATATCTGTGTTTGAGAGTGGCAGTATTTCTCTGTGATTATGTAGACTTCCTAGAATGCTGGGATTTTAGTGCCAGTGGGAGTCATCACAGCCTTGATGATGTATAAAATAGCATGTGTTTTTATGGACTGAGCTACACATCCTACTTTCCTATATAATGTAATACTGTTGCACACCATCTCACTGGAAACCTCAAAACTGTGAAGAGGTAAAGGCTAATAGACTTGCAGGTTAAGCAACTCTACAGCATAAGTACATCCTCTACAATGGTCACTTAATAATGTATTGTGTATATGTAAGTGCATGACTCCAAGGCATGGATCCCTCTGTACATACCTGTGTGTATGAATATTCTTACTACATGGAAGTGCTCACGTTACTTTTAAACAGAAATGTAGGTAGATAACACAAGAAGCAGACTAGGTCCCCTGGTGGATAAATTTGAAAGGAACAAGGAGGTAAAAGCCACACATAATATCTAGAGGCATTGTCCCTCTCCACAGGTAATTCTACTAGTATTTACTGGCCAGGACAAACATGGAGCTAGTTTATGACAGCCCTGACCTCAGGCAACCCTGCCTGTCACAAGTGGAAACTTGATCAGGAAGGCTTCTATATGTGCTTCTTTGTGGTCACTCTTCTAACCTCTGACTAGCAGATGTCTCATTTAAAATCCAAATGTTTGCCCCCACAAATTGGAAAAGTCAGTTTCTTATGGCAAGGGAAAATATGCTGTCTCCCAGGGGGGAAAAAAAATTTGCACAAATTAATTTCTTGGCCATCTGGAGTAGCTGTGATGCATAGTTTCTCTGGTGCTATTGAGAAGCTAACCTTTCTTTTATCTCCCTTCTAAGCATTCCAAAGAAAGGTTGACATCTAATGCTTGGTCAAGCTGGAAAAGAACTTGCTTTGTCAGTATTCTGGCTACAATTTTGCATCTAGAAAGTATTGTAATCTCTGGCAAAAGATGTCTTTAGTAAACAGTGTGTTAAGAGTTATGAAGTGAAACGTTCAAAGTGTCGCTAAATACTTTCTTGAAATTGTTTGTCTATGTTCTGTTATACTTCTGTCAGACAAGGAGACCTGTACAGAGACACAATTCAGTCTTTGGCAAGGAGACTAGCTGTTAACAATACTTGTAACTTCACCAGGCTCTGAAGACCTGAATGTGACTGGCTGTGTGTGAAGAGTTCATAAATCCCTACAGCTAATCTCATAGTCTTGAGGGAACTAATTTACATACTCCTAACTGGAGTTTACACATTTTGTCCTGTTTTCATGCATAGCATTGCTACTACAAACACAAGTAAATTGCCTAAAGAGGGATGTGCTGTCTGGACAAACCATCTAAAAAAGATCCTACTGACCGTCTCTGTACATCAGCATTTCCAGTGCAAGTTGTGACAAAAGGATGTAAAGCACATCACAGTAATCTACAGGTTGAGAAACCAAGTTGCTCCTCTAACATATATGTGCCTTTGTTTCCTAATGAAATGAGTCAGACCTGAGACTTTTCCATTTTGGGGTCAGATTTATGAAGCTTACCTTAAGATGATGAGCACATGCAAAATACATTCTTTATTTACAATATCACTACTATCATCTTTTGATATAATACAGAGTATCTTGGTTCCTCTCTCCTAGTTCCTTTCCTTTTGCTGTTAAAAAAATGGAAGATAATACCTGTCAGCTTCCTCTAACTCAGAAGAGCTCTTGGGGTCTCATAATTCTTAGTTGAAATTTTTAGTGATAGTTAGGTTATGTACTAGATTCAGCCACATGATGAAAAGTGCAATTTGATGATAAAAGTCAGCTTGCTGAAATTTGAAGTACATCCTGTAAGTGGGGACATATCTATAGTTTGCATAACATATAAGCACAGAACTGCCCTTAAAATACATCATACCTAACTATTTTTTCTAGCTAAAAGATAAGGAATTGCTCTTGTATTATTTCGACTGATTAAAAAAATGTTATTCTTGTCCTGTGTCAGTCTGTCTTCTATTACATAACATTTAATATACAAGGTCAAGGGGGGGCCTTTCCTCTGAAACCAACCTCTTCAACTGTAATTAGGTATTCATGTGGCCTTACAACTGTAGTTTTTGAAATTTGCATGAATCTTACTAGTTTTAAAATAATTTTCTGCCACCTAGATATGTGATAATCAAGTTGGGGTTTTTGTTTTGTTTTTTGTTTCCTTTTATAACATTTACACTTTTCCAAGAAACAGAAGCCTCTTACAGCAAGTGAAGAAAGAGAGAAACTCTGAGACATCAACAAGCTTAAAAGGGAAAGAACAATCCTGGTTGCTGTTGACATTCAATCTAGAAATTAGTTGCAAAAAAATGGACAGTTTTTATGGAAAGAAATAGATCTGCGTTAAAGGATTTTTATAATTATTTTGTAATACTGTAAAGCTTCAGTCAGTTTTACTGATTGCTTTTTATTTTCTTTGGTGAGTTCAAAGTCAGGGGAAAGGATACATGCAGCTGTAGTGAATCTGCTTTCTTTAAGTTTGGAAACCATGTATAGTGTGTATTAGGCATTAGTCTGGGTCAGATTATGAATGACAAGGTGCTCAAGCACCTCTGAGCAAGCAGTGGGAGTTGAGTGTTCATTTTTCACCTAAGGAGGCAGGGGAATTGTGCTTCCTCTGTTGAGAATTAAATTACAACTGAAAGATTCTGAAACCATCAGTGAAAAAAAGCTGTCTTTGGTTTTGTAAAACGTAAAAAAAATAAGCTGGTATATACAATGAATTTCCAAAATAAGGATGGTTGCAGTATTTTACAGATTACCTTTGACAGTGGTATATTTTATGAATTGTCTTGACATTGTTCTTCTTACGGGCTTATACCGACCTCTCCTATTTCTGCAGCGCCCTGCTGTGAAAGCAACACTACAACAGCAAAGGAAGATGAGAGAAGAGCAAAGAACAACAGGAATCAACCAGACACCCAAAGCTGCAGGTTCCCAAGCAGATGCCTCATTATCTGAAGTATAATTCCTACCACTGTAGCCTTTGGTTTCATTTAAGTGTTGCTTACTGCTGTTCTGACGAGGAGGAGTGGGCATGTGGGATAATACCTCAGCAGACTTGGATATCAACGTTGAGTGTGCAGTCTTCTTGTCTGAGCTGGTGATTGACCTAGTGCTTACTGAAGCTCTGCTTGTCCTCTCAGCAAAATGATCATCCAGTGGAAAAGTTTCTGCCCTGGAATATGTAGTAACTTCAGTTTTTTGTGTCATCGGGCTTGTACTGGAGGTGTAAGTGTTTGATGTTAAGCTGTGGCTAGTGGTAGAAGATGGAGCTTGGAGCAAAAGAGAACTTGACGTGGCATTATGATGCTGGCATCTTTCCCACCCAGTGGCCTTTGTGCTGTTTTGCTTTTCATATTTATTCAGTGAGTTGTAAGTATTTGGCTCTCTGGATGTCAGTTTTTCAAAAATAAGAAGATCGGGATCCATCCCTATTAAATTACAAACAGTGTTAGTTCATGTGCTAAAAGCTCATCTGCACACCCACAAAAGGAGCACACAATGTTAGGTCAGGGATCCCAAATAATACCTATCAACACATTTTGGCCTGGGGAGCATCACTGCCTGGGGTTATGGGACACCTTATGGGCTGCAAGTGAAGGGCATTTTGTGATTGCCCAGGACTTGTTGCAGGATGGTTAGGGAAGGAACCAAAAGTAAGAAAAGGGAGCAATCTAGGCCAGTGGGGTATAGGGGAGTTCTGGCAGTGTGCGTGTGTGTGTGTGTGACAGCCTGCATTTGTCTGTCTGTCTGTCTATCTATCTATCTATTTATATTTTCACTAGTAGATCTCCATCCTGTGCAGCCAGAAAAAGCAGGATGAGGCTCTTGGTGCTGCCTGTGTTTGTGTGTCTCCTTTATGTGTTTGTCTGTTCCCTGGCTGGCTGGCTGTGTATACTGAGATACATATGGGTGCTCTTTGTGCATGTGCCTAATGGGAACTTTTTTTCAGCCTTGCTACTAGTTGGATGTGGGGACATGGAGCAGTGAGTAGCCTTGCCTCTTGGTGTCTCTGGTATGGTATGTTCCCCAAGCATAGTATTGATTAGGTACTCAAAGCATGAATCTGGAAAGCAGTGTGTATCTTCAAGGTCCCTTCTCAAATACTGCATGGAAGAAAGGTCCAGAAGTTCCCAGAAGTCAGTGCATTAACAAAAAATGAAAAAAATCTTATGCTTTTTTTGGCATTGAGTCGTACTTAAGATCTTTTAGCACAGCAGGTGACCTAATATAATTTTAACATTTCCTATAGATACTATGTTTTCAGCCATTATAAACAAAATGCTTAGTTACCTGTTGTGATGTTGTACAAAGTTACATTGATTCTAGCCTTTAGTATGCAACTTTCCAACGCTGGGCAAGACATGTGCAGGCAATTCATATTCTCATAAAGAGCTACATGGTAGAACACTGCTAGGTTGCAGGAAACTATAATGCAAAAAGAATAAAGTTGAGATAATTAGCATAATAAACATTGTCTTTTGCATGTAACTACATTATTTAGCATCAGATCATTAATACTGGGCAGCTCCATACTACCTTAAATCTGTAGTTCTCATTATTATGGAAACTAATTAAGCACCTAGTCAGCAAAGTAGAACCGCTTATAACTATATTGTTATTTTAAGAAGAAGGAATAGAATAGCCATCTGCATTCTAAATATTCCTCTGATAAAATAAAATCATAGGTTTTAGCTTGTTGCTTTCCTTCACATCTCAGCTGCAGGAGTGGACCATTTCTGAACATACAGTTATCAAGGAATACAATTTCGAGATGCTTGTGCTTGTGTAATATATCTGTCTATTTAAAACTGGACTGCAACCAGTCATTTTACCCAGACTGTTAGAAAAACATCCTGACCTACAGTAAGTGACATCCTACCCTGCTGCCAGTTCCCAATTGTTTTCCTTGTTTGCCTTTGGGCTATTGTATTTCTGTGAATAGAGTAGCTTAGGCAATTCTTTATTAATGTTTGGAGCTTCAGTTCTATGTTCCCACATCAGAAATAAAGGCAAAAGTAAAAATGAAAAAATGCCTGAACCTCTTGTCATTGAAACCCAATTTTCAGAAGTATATAGATGCCCAAATCCTAATGGTTTAACAGATTGAAAATATATGCAATCAATTTAGATAGGAAATATACTTATGGCTAGAGTAAAACGATGCAAGTAGGAAAGCATCTTCTGTCAGGGTCTCAAAGGACATCAAAATCTCAAGTCAAAATCTCAATTCAAAAGTTAATTTTATTTTATATCAATGTGCTTGGAGCAGGATTAATCCTTTGTTTCACTTGTATGAAGTTTTGGGAGGTTTATTTTATTTTACCTGCCTTGAATGTAACCTATACACCTGAATTAATAACCTGAATGGCTACCTTCAATTTAAAAAGGTATTGGCAGGGCAAGGGACACATTCAATAGTGGAAGATACTGTAAATTATTAAAACAGCTAAGGAGAGCTTTACTGATTCTGACTCTCAAGCTTTGCACTTCAGAAAATTGTAGCACAGCTTCTGACTCTAAATTGGACAATCTGTGTTTGAGATGAGCTTTTAAGATCTGTATTTGTTAATGTTACTTCCTAGAACATGTGAATCAATAGTGCTGAAGAGTTGCTGCAGGCAAACAATTCTAAAACAGTTCCATTGGTTTTATTTGTTTTTTAAATATTGTAAAAGCATTTTAGTAACAATAGATTTATGTAACATGCTTATGAAAAACTTTCTTTTACATAAATTGTTAGGAAACTACCTAACTTTATAAATGTATTCTATGTAATAAGGTATATATTAAAAACATTTTTCTCACATTTCTAAGTAATGAAAATAATTTGTAATACTTGTGCAGTGAAGAACAGAAAAAGTCATGCAACTCTTTCCAGTTTATGTGTAACTAGAAATAAAAAAAAGATACCTAACCCATCTACAAATAAGAAAAGGAAGAAAATACACGAAACCTGTGCTTACTATATTTTATGTATTATTCGGGGTTTTTTTCATCTAGTAGCCTCAATACTGCATTATAGATTTAGCCCAGTAAATGGATGCCTTGAAAATGTCTTTTTTTTTCTATCATAATGAACTTACTTGCCCTAAGAGAGAAGCATGCTTTTAAAAAATACATATACTATTGATTCGATAAAAATTGGCAATGCAAATGCACTCTGTCTTTTGGAACAATACCAATTCAACAGCTCTATGGAAGAATAAATCATGGCAGAAGTGCTGTTACAGAATTTATATTGTCTTATGGTTTTGGTTGTCTGCTGAAATTTAGGTAATTGTTATTTCCTTAGAATATTTAATAAAGAAATAGACTCTCAATAGGAATGCTGCTGGTAGTTGTATTAGTTATCTCAGTGCCAGGTTGTCATGGTTAGCTTTTTGCTCATAATTCAAAGCTTCCTTAAATTTTGTATTGACTGCTTTTAATAACTGGTAGCTCCCTTTAATCCTCCATATCCAAAAATATTTCGAGTTTTGCAGTAAAATTTAGGCACCACAGATACACACTCCATGTACACTCCTAAATACACTTTTGTGTAGTGTACCAATGCAGTGTGATACAGAGAAAGTGTAGTCTTGGGCTTAAGACAAGCAGTGTTTTTTCTTATTTTTATTCTGAGTCCAAGTTTACAAGCCTGGGGAAAGGTGCTGCCAGCTGAGTAACTGCAATTATTTATTACTATAACTTCATTGCACATATTAACATTACATCTGCATTGTACCAGAAACATGGTGTAAACACAGCACAAGAGAGTGCTTTCTCTGACAAAATGAGTATTCTTGTATCTCAAAGGCCAAATTATGTGTTCTCTCCTCTTTCCCCCTCACTATATCCTGCTCTAGTACCATACTCCATGAAGAAGAGAGCTGTTGGAATCAGTCTCACTGACTTTTCTCTACAGGAGTAGACGGTGATTAATACCAAACAGTTACTGTTTTAATGTCAGCATTGCCCACAAACTTTCTGACAGATATCTAAAATTTCAAAGCAGACCCTAAGATTTTAATGTGTTTCTAGTACGGTCTTCTGAAAAAAAAAAAATTAATATATTCTCAAGTTCCTTTCTATGGGACTGAAGATGGGGAACAACGTGCCTCTGCTTTCCTGCCTCAAAAAATATATGTATTCCAATTTTTTGCATTATTTCTTCTTCAAATAAAGGAATATTTATATAAAAATTACCCAAAATATTTTTTCCTCATATATCGTGATGCAAAGTAGAATGTGTGCTACAATCTCAATAATAAACACTCACCATTCCTCAGAAGACAGCAGGTTCTGCTGCACTGCTGGGGTGAGACTTCTGCATAGACCTTCAGCACCTGGGCTCCCCTCTTCTGTGATTCCTGCAGGTCAATCAGAAGACCTGGGAAGCGCCGGATCCAGCAGTTTTTGTAAAAGGTGGTGGGTGAGCAGAGAGAATCTGACTCCACAGATAAACCCAGGACCAGCAGCACTTGTGCTACTGCCACCAGCAGAACCATCTCTTCAATGTAATGGGCTTAGTCAGGGCACCTTCTCCTCCACGGATGCAGTGAAGTTTGGACCCACATTTCAAGAGAAAATCTCTTGGGTAAGAAGGATAGTGCCAATTCTACCAGGGGATGTTTTTTCCAAACAATTCCCATGATGGGGTTTGGGCCGCTGCTGGAAGGAAGCAGCCATTACATGAGCTACATATGATTATAATAGTTATTGTTATTCTCTAACTTAATAATTTTGAGACAGTTTTTGAGGACAGCAGGCACAGGTTGCTTTCAGTCATTTAGAGAACTTGTTTCCATGGTCCCAAGTTTGTTTCCTGTCGTAAGACCAAACTAGGCAGACAGCCTTAACATGTCATGAATAATGGTAAGCTCAGCATATTGTTTCACCTCAGCTCTGAAAGAATGTGGTACAGTCACTTGAAAGCAGATAGGTCTGCCTCTTTGTTCAGGCACATTATTACATTAAACACAGAAGAAACAGTTCAGGCTAGTTTTTAATGCTTTTTGAATTGTCTAGTGGCTACAAATATAGTTTCCTTCTTGACTAACAAACTGAATTATCTGTCTGCCAGCCAGAAGTGGAAATTTGTTCCTCTTACATATTCTGTTTGTCTTGCAGGAATAATACAACTTTATTTGCAAAGACCTAGGAATAGGTGAATATGACTGGAGAAGGCTGTGACCTACATTCAGCTCTGGACTAGGTATGTAATCAAAGTCCTGACCCTAATCTTCCATCACTTTATGAATATTGAACAGTCTGTGTAGGTTCTTCTGCATACGTTTAACCATAGAAAAGGCCTGTGAAAGTGCAAGAAAGAAAATACAGTTGGCACATAGGGTGGCTATTTTTCAAGCACCTGGTCTGAAACATGAAACTCCCAAGTGTTTTGTTGCTTTAAAGTAGCCAGTTTAATCCACAGCTCCCACTTCCATGTGCCTTTCCTACAGAAAGGCTTTAAAATATTGCAATACATGAGCTCATTTAAACTCAATGGCCTACACAGTGAGGTTGAATTAGGTAGAAATACAGTTGTCTGCAATAAAAATATATGTTCAATATATAAAAATATATTTTAGACTGCATTTTTTTCCTTCAAGGCTAGAATCAAGGAATTTCCCCAGTCCTGCATGTAGTGCAGATCAGTGACATAGGAAGGAGGGAAGCCTCAAACTTATTTTAATTCTTTAGCCAACTGGTGTTTTTTTGCAAAATAATGCCCTCAGTTTTAGACATGTATACAAATTTGTTCCTCACAGAGCTCCTTAGAAGGTAAAGAGAACTGAGAGCAGGTTAACTCCTGTTGATCCAATAGCAAGATCGAAGTATGTATTTATTCAGTAGCACTCCTGGCTATGATAAGGAAGATTCCAAAGAAATGTCTGTTTTCATGTAGGTGGCATGTCTCTTGCGGGGAACACATGAATGAAATTGTAAGAAAGAG